GAACGTCGGCATCTTGTATGGCCTCGCCGAGCTGTTGTTGTGGCTGTGGTCAGTCTGCTGTTGCTGACTGATCTTGGTGTCCAGCAACTCGAACCGCTGGCTGATGGTGGCCGGCTCTGCGAAGGCACTTATGTCTCCTAGCATTGCCACTACGTGGTCAACGCGTTCCTCCAGTTGGCGGCTAGAGGGTGCACTGCTGGAAGCCCCAGCATCTGGTCCTGGTACAGCCTGTTCCAGGTCCAGTACACGGGAATTGAGTGCCCGTGTTGCATCCTCGTGGCTCTGCACTATCCGGCGGAGGTTCGCTAACTCCTGGTGCTGTTGCCTCAGATCCTGGAACAGCTGTTGCAGTTCCTGGTTCTATTTCTCCAACTCGGACCGTTGGTAGTTGCAAGCACACAACAACCATGTCACGAGTTTGGAGAGGAACTCCTTATGCTGCTCTTCCGGTGTTGCCTCGTCGCCGTTCGGTTCAAAATGCCAGAACTTGAGTTTGTCGATGCTGTTGGCTTCATGCCGCTGGAGCAGATCCTGGGCTTCCTTGCGGCGAGCCTGGGCATTTGCGTCTGCTTCGGCCTGTAGCCGCAGCTTCTCTGCGGTTGCCGCTTCTTCAGCCTGTAGCTGGGCAGCCGCGGCTGCCAGCTGGCGTTGTTCCTCAGCCTCGATGAAATCGAGCTGAGCCTGGAAACGCTTTTTGTAGTCGGCAATAGGCTCATTGGCCAGTTGGCCTGGCAGGCCCGTCATGTTGCTGACGTGGCACTGTGTCTGACGTGGCACTGCTGATGTGGCACTGCTTACGTGGCACTGTGTCTGATGTGGCACTGCTGGCGTGGCACTGCTTACGTGGCACTGTGTCTGACGTGGCACTGCTGACGTGGCANTGGCACTGCTTACGTGGCACTGTGTCTGATGTGGCACTGCTGGCGTGGCACTGCTTACGTGGCACTGTGTCTGACGTGGCACTGCTGACGTGGCACTGCTGACATGGCACTGCTTACGTGGCACTGTGTCTGATGTGGCACTGCTGGCGTGGCACTGCTTACGTGGCACTGTGTCTGACGTGGCACTGTGTCTGACGTGGCACTGCTGACGTGGCACTGTGTCTAACGTGGCACTGCTGACGTGTCACTGCAGCTGACGTGTCACTGTGTCTGACGTGGCACTGTTGACGTGTCACTCTAGCTGACGTGGCACTGTGTATGACGTGGCACTGCTGACGTGTCACTGTAGCTGACGTGTCACTGTACCAACCCGGAAAATGCATGCAAAAGAAGGTGGGAGGGAAAACGCAGGTAGGAAACCAACCCAACAATACTTTCCTCCGACCCTAATCAACAGATAAAAATAAAAAAATAAAAGAGGACTACTTCCTTTTTTTTTTTTTTTTGTATATCTGTCGATCTATTATGAGTAGGACATGTCAGAAAGAGTATTATGAACGAGATCTAGGCTAGGTTCCGCAAAGCTTCGGCTTCAACAAACTGCGATCTTGAAAAAAAAATAAAAAAATTTGCGAAATGGAGTAACGATGCGATTTTCAGAAAAGAACAAAATCCAGTTTCTGAGAATATGGCAACCTCTAACGCAATATTGGTAGGCTTCGCAAGATTTCGGTTTTCAAAAAAAATAAAAAAAATAAAAAAAATTGCGAGATAGAATGGAAATTCGATTTCCAGAAAAGAATAATTCCAGTTTCCGAGAATATGACCACTTCTATCATTATCCCAATATGCCTAGAGAACGAAATACTAACTTCAGAAATTTCAGCTATGTATGCAACATATCAGAGAAACGAAAAGCTACTATCGGGAATTTTCAGACAAAACGAAATGCGATTTATCAGAAATTTTCAGATATTTGTTACGTAAAAACGAACTACTAATATCAGAAATTTTCAGGTAAAACGAAATGCGGATATCAGAAATTTTCAGATAGTTGTTGCGAGAAAAAATTTCAGAGATTTGACTAAGTCCTACTTGCGTTACTAATAAGTGATCACTAGATCAACAAGTTGGCTACTTGATTGAGCGGGTCCTCTGAATGAGAGGTCCGCTCCGATACCAAACTGTTGCATACTGTAACGTGCAGACCAGAACAAGAACCGACCTCTCAATACAAAGTACAAGATAACACAGCGGAAGACTTAGATACTAATGATCC